GTGGTATGAATGCATGATTAGGGGACTAGGAAGTATTTCAACCTAAGCATGTAAATATTCCGGTAAGAACATTTAAGTCCTACTTCTTCCTGATCCCTAGCATGTTGAGAGCAGTCTAAGTCTTACCTCACATCAACTTGCCAGGCTGAGTACATTGTACACGGCTGAATTGCGCAATGTGCAAAATCTTTCGTCCACATATTACATCCATATTACATCCACTTGGCCCATGTGGAAACGATAAGGTTACTTCAGTTACTTCCATTCCGATTCGGTTTTGCCTTTCCGCAGCTCTGTCTTGCCACCCTCTGCAGGAGAAACAACTCTACGATGTCGTTATCGATGACATCTTCGTGGGATATGCCCGGAGCGTGCATAAGCCAAGATGCTGGACATGGAAACAGTACAGAGTCCAAGCCACAGGGAGGGTTCTGTTGTACGGGCCGTAAATTGTGACGTAGAGGACGTCCTGATCCAAGAACAAAAACCGCAGGTCTGCTCATGATTTAGGGTTTGATACCTTATGCCTTGAAGACTTTTAGCCCTAAGCCACTAAACCCCCTTAGACTGCATGCCCTCAACCCTACAACCCAAGACGTTTGGGCTTCACGTGTAGCTAGCGTGTCCTGTTTCCTAGGTAGGATACCTTCAGCCATGGCCTCTGCATTTGGGTAGGCCGCACAAATAAAGGGACTTTCCTGGGAATATACTTACCAGGGTCCCTATATTCTATTGTATTACTACTATATTCTTCTATATTCTTGGGGTTCCCGGTTTGGGATTGCCATTAGAACCCTTTTGACAAAAGGTCCTCGGGATAACGACCCATGAGTGTCCACATCGCACCCCGTAATGATGTTAAACGCCCGACCTCGTTGATATTATAAGTTGATATTATAGGGGGTTTTTAGGGTTGCTACTACAATATATTTGGGGTTCTGTATGGGGATAATGGAAACTACTATAATGGGGTTATGTAGGGTTTAGGGTTTAAGGTTCTGATATTAGATATTCCCAGTGTATTGCATCATACCACACTGGGGCTACTCGATATTTGCGGGCAATTGGTAGGGCGGGGGGTTCAACATTGACCCCTAAAACCCCAAACTATACAGTAGTTTCCATTTTGTTTTCCACTCCACTATACACCCGTATATATCCCATGTGAGGTTTTACTATTAGGGCGAGGAGGTTAACGCTAATATAACCCCAATGTATCTGAATTCCCTAAACCCTAAACCCTAAACCGCCTATGCAACCCTGGCTTCGATTTGATTTCCATGTTTTCCATTCGATTCTCCATTATTGCGGCTACCTCCCCAATTCATCTTCAAACCCGAGACATTACACAGCATGGTATTGTCCACTTCCTTTTCCATTCCCCTATATACGCATACATCTTTCGTTAATCCAAAGAGCAATGGGGGAGTTGATTACTAAACCCCTAAACCCCTAAGCCCTAAACCCCTAAACCCAAAACCCCTAACCCCTAAACCCCTAAGCCCTAAACCCCTAAACCCTCAACCCCTAACCCCTAAACCCCTAAGCCGTAAACCCTAAACCCCTAAACCCCAAAGCTCTAAACCCTAAACTCCTGAACCCTAAACCCTGAACCCCTAAGCCTTAAACCCTAAACACTAAACCCCTAAGCCCCAAACCCCGAAACCCTAAGCCCTAAACCCCAAACCCCTAAACCCTAAACCCCCTAAGCCCTAAACCCCAAACCCCTAAGCCCTAAACCCTGAACCCCTAAACCCTAAAGGGATATACATCCTGAGGATGGCTGCTGCAAAGAGGCCTGCGCTTGGCTGCGAAACGCTTGCGGCCAGGCTCCAGCTTTTGGGTTCGGGTTCAGGGCTTAGGGTTTAGGGTTTCGGGTTAGCTGCCCATACTTTTGGGGGGAGCTAAGGAGCTAGGGATGGTTTATATAGTATCATAAGGAGAGCTAAAAAGCCCAGGAATCTCCAAAACCATAGGGGAGTTAGTGTTTAGGGATGGAAGCTACTTGGAGGTTGAGTGTATCTAGGCCCTCAATGAATCTTTAAATGATGGCTATAGTGTCCCCCAAAAGTGGGTATTTAGGTTAAACAGAGGGTAGAGGGTGATTATAGCTTCGTGAGCCCCTAAGTACCCCAATATGGCTGGCGTTAGGTTATAAGCTTCAGCTACCGTTGGATCACAAATTCCATGAACCTCCAAGTCTCGTATTGTAGAAGATCTTTGTGGATTTTGGTGGCAGCTGGGGATGGTCAGGAATGTCCATCAGCATTTTACTACAAGGCCGCCCCGGACCCAACGCACAAAGTAAAGGACCCAAGAAAAGGGGCCCGAAACGGGCCCCCGCTACCGCAAAAAGAAGAGCTCCTTGAATAATCTTGGAGACCTGGGCATAGGCTTGAGGGGCCCCTATATAATCCCAGCTTGCATTTCATTTTCCATTTTCATTTCCATTTGATTCTCTATTGTTGGGTACCATAGTATCCCCAAATAAGATACTACTTCAGTCCGAACTTGAGAGATCCCGGCAAGCATTGCAGTATAGACAGATTCCACACTCAGGCTTCACATTAATTACGCATATACTGACCCCCAATAGCTAAGTTGCCTGAGGTGCGCGAATGCAAGAACGCAACCATGATGTTCCTGAGAAAGAGGCCTAAATCATCCTCATAGTCCCTGAGCTCCTGTCTGAGAGCTTGAAAGGTTTGAAATTACAGTTTCTCTAAGGCAGTTTGGCATCTAGGCCCTAAACCTTCCACCCTGAACTCACTGTCCTATGCTCTAAACCCTGAGACCCAAATAAGTCAGGCTTTAGTAACTCTTCTCGCACCTGTTTGTTTGAGATGTTGCAAACCCCAAAGAAACCCCTTTGAGAGACCCCGGTGTTAGATAACATCCTACTTTCTCTTAACGAGCCCGTTGACCCTACTGTCCCCCCTAAACCTTAAAGCCTCAGACCCTAAGCGTTCCCAGTTTCAGTACTACCACGAGAGCCCCACAAATTAGAGGAAGGTAAAAGTTTAAGATCCCAGGCGTTGCAAGGTTTCTTACGTCCAGAATGTCCCGACCTCTCAGGGCCCACGACCGAATAGTTCAGTACTTCCTGCTGGGGTTTCAGCTTGTTTTACTTGTAGAGTTGGCTTTGAGGAAATATGTGACTGTAGAGTTCTGCGATCCACAGGGCACCAAGCCGCTTCTAACGATGGGCTTGGTTTTAAGATACAGAGAATTGTAGCAGAATTCTGCTAAGGATTTTCATCAATTGGTGCAACTACCTCTTGATTTTACTTTACGTGCAGAATGTGGCCCCCTAGACTTTTCTCTCCCAAAATTCCGGCGTCATGAATTGCAGTTGAACCTCAGTTGTTGCTGCGATTTCCAGCGCATGCATGAATGGCCAGAGCGTCTTGCGGTCCAACACTTTGACTGTATCAGTGGGGGATATATCGGGGTGTTCTAACCGTGCCAGCCAAAGATGCCGCACCCAAATCCCAGAGCAAACATGAAATCTAGAAAGGCCAACAGCCTGACACCACGGATTCAGGAGGACAACTCCACGAAATGTGCTGTTAGCTGTAATGTCCTTTGTGGCGAGAAGGCATTTGCCTGTCCCAGCTTTGTTTAATCAATGTGTTATCTTGCTTGCACATTGCCCTCTGCAATTGATCTCCTCGCTGTACCAGCTACCCAGCGCTAGTCTAGGTGACGCCATGCAATCAAAACTTTCCACAGCTGAATATGGTACCAATGTCGCGATACAGTCAGCCGTTCCGATGCAAACATTCAACATGATCATTCCCCTGCAAGAAGGAACCAGCTCACGGACGGAGCCGCTGTTTTGTGTTGCTGTCGCGGTTTGTACTTGTAGCACGGTCCTCGCCGAGCCACCGGCAACGCAGAGAGTGATTTCCCGTGCTATTTAAAGCAAGGGGCTCAGAGTGATTGAAAGCGTCCTACTTTAAGGCCGCAATTACCAGTATTATGGCTCCAGATTCCTTGCATATTGTAAGGCACTTCAAACAGATCTGAATATGATATTGGTGGTTCTTTAGATTCCTACAACACACTTTGCCCATGTTTTTTGTTTGCAAGAGAATCATTGTGACTGCAACACTGTACAGCTTGCACGAGGTACCGAGACAGAATTTTGGAAAGCCCATTTGCAGAGCATTAGATGCAAGCCTTTAGGTGGTTATTTTATTGGCAGCCTGGTTAGAGACTGATTAAATTTGGCTTGCAAAATTTGCGGCTTAATGTTTGCGGTCTAGTCACACGTGGGCACGCCCACCGGCAGGGTGCATGTTTAAACAAAAGCGGGCCAAAATCGTCGGAGTTGGCATTATAGACACCCTTTTTGCTTGTAGCATCTGACTGTGATCAAACTCATTACCCAATGTTTCGTACATGCAGCAACCGAATTTGCAAAAACTGGTTTGCAGGTGTGTGAGACCCATTTATGGGCAAGGTCTGGGATTTCTAGAAACCTGCACGCCGGTAGGGTTCACCCATTTCCATATCATTTTCAAGACCGTGCAAGTTGGCAAGTTATTCCCGAGTCGTTGTATAGTTTCAGGAAAGCTCAGGGAAAGCTTATGTTTATGACCGATGTGGCATATGTTTTTTACCTGTTTTGTGCGGTCTCCATGACTCAGTCTTGATTCTTTGCATGCAGGTGGCCTACTCATCAGCAACACGTGGCTTGCCGAAATCTTCGCCAGGCCTATAGAGACCGGAACGATCGGGTAGTGCTTTCCGCAGATAACGTGCTTCGTTTCAAGAGTTTTTGGGCTTGGGGCAACCAGTCTGATTCACAACGACCCCATATTGAAAGACCGCTTAAAATGGTGGCGTGGGGCCGCATGTTGCAGGTTTGCGAATGCGACAAACGTCCCCATGTTGCTGTTCAAAACTCTGCATGACAAAGTCTTGCATAATCCCGAGAAAACAGACCTCAGCTCGAAACATAGCTTGGAGGCAAAAAACAGCCGCGAAATTGGAACATGTTTTCGCTGAGGTTGAATGAGGCTGCAGCCTTCCAGGCGGGTTTCTCGGCAGCAGGCTTGAGAGTGGGTTTAGGTTCAAATGTGTTGATGGTTTCATGGTTTTGTTTGGCCTTTGGTGCCATCAGAGTTGTTGGCACCGCGCTTTTGTTTGTGACTCAGAACTCCGCACTAAGGTGACGGCTCTTGCTGTTTGTTTGCCTCATTGGCGTTAACATTGGCTCTAGTCTCATGCCCTGGAATTGAGATGGCCAGTGTACTTATGACCCAGACCGAATCCGCGTGGCAAGGCACTAGCCTGCTGGTTACTAGTACGGAATGGAGGAATACATCCTTTTCACACCCCGTGTATATTTCCAGTCATTATCGTACTTTCTAGTTTGTATTCCACCCCCTTCAATATTTCTTGCCCACAACCAGCAAGCTAAAGCCTCCCCCATCCAACCCTGTTCACACCATCATGGGACGGGCACTGGGACACTAGGGTTCAGGGGCGGCTTGTGCCGGAGGCAACGATTGGTTAGTACGCCGACTCTCCCTCTTTTGCAGTGGCTATAGCTAGCCTGTCTGTTAAGCCTCGCTGTTGCTGCTGTTGGACGGATCGGGGGTATGATAGAAAGCCCCTTACAGCGTATTTTGAACTTGGGCCCTACAGATACAGGAGAGCTTCAATCTCCTTTGATTTTAAACGGCCTCTAAACCCCCCCCCCAATTTGTGAGGGAGGGGGGGAAGGTCCCATACATTCATGAAAGAGGGTCCCACAGTACTAGCCACTGGGCTGCAGGTGTGGTGCGTTGCAAGCAGCCTTCTGTTTTGAATTTGTCCACACCACTGGCTTGCCTTCCAACAAATAAGCCGCTGCCTGTTTGTATTTGCCACTTGCTAGGAAGGGAGGTTGTCCTGGTAACGCCAGCATTTTCTGACGCAGCGTTTCCTACGACGGTCTTTAGAAGTACCCAGGCTTGCATAGGTGTGAGGGAGATTTTGATGGCTCTGGTTCCGCTGGAAGACCCTTCAGTCAGGATCCAGTGGTCACGAGTGAGTATACCCCATGCTGAGAGACATGAGAACACAGCTACCGGATGAATCACACTGCACTGAGTTCTTCGCCGGCGGTTTTCGCAGTTGATCCAACTTCAGCTGCAAGGCCCACGGCAAGCTTCAACGTTGTGTGGATTGGGTCGTTTTGACGTTCGCAGGCGGTGTGAAAGGATTTTGTACAGGCTGACATGCAAAGGCTTATTCTTTTTTGGTCTTCGGTTCGCACTGACTGCAATTTACGCCGGGCATGAATTTGGCCTGGAACAGTCCAAGCTGCAAAGTACGGATTTTCACGAAAACTTTCTGGACTTGTGCGAGGATCTAAAGGCGTAAAGATTTTTTCTGGTACAAAGCCGTTGACATGTGACAGCATGGGCCGGCGGTGCGGCAGGGTACCGGCGGTGTCCAATGCGCCTGAAAAACAGAGACTTCTTAAATGGGGCTTTTGTTTTCAGCTTTCTGCTGCCAACCGGCTAAGCATGTAAGCCCCTGATTTGCGCACCGTGCACTTTAGACAGAGGTCTGAGGATTCTGACATAGACTCATTGATGTGGCTCCTCCATTTGTGGTAGCTTGTCATTTTGCCAGTCGCATTCCCGGGAAGTATCCTCAGCGCAAGCAGCACCAGCACCAGCACCAGCACCAGCACAGCAGCACACCAGCACGCCAGCACGCCAGCAAACCAGCACACCAGCACCAGCAGCAGCAGCAGCAGCAGCAGCAGCAGCAGCAGCACCAGCAGCACCAGCACCAGCACCACAACCACCACTGCTATTGTTCCTGTTTTTTTGCTGCAAGTGTCACGAGGAGCACGACCGCCGCCGCTATCCCTACGGCAACTCTGCTGTTACATGACTCTTACTGCTGCTGATGAGGATGCTGATGCTGCTACTACTGCTCTTCTTCCTATACCACCACCTCCTAGTAGTAGTAGTAGTAGTAGTAGCAGCAGTAGTAGTAGTAGTAGTAGTAGTAGCTACTACTACTACTACTACTCCTACCACGACTGCTACTATTACTATTATTTTTTACTACTACGACAACTACTACACCAACAACGACCACTACCATCGCCGCCGCCACCGCCGCCGCCTCAGCCGCTGCTGCTGCTGCCTGCTAGAAGCTCAAGCTAGTTCGACTCCTGCAGACTTGCTTCGTGTGTAATCACCAGACTACGACAACACAGTCCTGGTGGCGTCCTCAGCGCCCTTGGATCCAGATCAGCTTGTGCCTCGGCTTCAAAAAATCATGTGAATGTCTTGTTGTGCAAGTTTTGTTGCGCTTCCAGGATAGCAAGTTCTTGCAATCAGCGTCTGTTGCCAAGGTCCATCATCTTGGTAGTAGTCAGCCATTCAGTAGTCTTTTGATTTTTGGGGACTTCTTGCTAGTGCTCTTGCTGTAGCCATAGTTGCTGGCTCGTATACACCGTAGATGAAGGGGTCAGAGACACAAAGCCCTGGCGAGCCTGAAACCATTGCTTACACTGGAAGTAGTTCCTGCGGCAGGAGCCTGTTGGAACCCCCAAGACTCTGCACAACCTGGACTACATCCCAAAAATCCTACTTGGAGGGTAAAGGGGACTTATAGTAAGTAGGTTAACAACTCCTGTAAGCCATATAGTAATCATGGTTATACCCACGATAAACCTAGTTGCTAAGCCCCCCTGAGCCTCCAAGTAGAAACATCATAGGGTAGTTTCCGCCAAAAAAAAAAGGACCCCAATGTAGAGCCAAAAATACTATACTCCTTATTGTAGGGACCCCTAAAAAGGGATCCCTACTTTCCGGAAACTCCCATAGAACTTCTTTTGGCAGCCACCGAGGCCCACGACTTGCGCCAGAGTGAGGCTGAGAGAAGTGCCTCAAGTGTTTCGCTCTGAACTAGAGTCTAAACTCCATAAAAGGGTGGTAAATAGGGTTCAGGGTCTACACTGCTTGAAGGGGGTTATGTAGGGGATTATGTAAAGGACCACTATAGGGGATATTAAGGGGAAAACTTGGAGTGTAGACTATAACCCTACATAATCCTAGTTTCCATGTCTTTTTCATTTTTCTTTTCCAGTTGATTCTGCATCGTCAAGGGGAAAACTAGGAGTTTAGACTGTGGTTCATGTAGTCATGCACCTTCTACGCGCAACTCTTCATTCCAAGCTGGAGAGCTCTGGGCAAGTTGTACTGGAGGTTGCAATCCACCCAAAGGCATCAAAGCCAATTGAACCATAATCTAAACCCTATAGCTCAATTGATTTCAGGAGCCACCCCGGTAGGACAATTGTTTCAGCTTTGAACGCCGCAAGTAATTATCGACTAGCAGGCGAGGGGCTCCTTTTTTGAATGGGACCAGAGACAGGCAATTGCAACGGCTCAAGGCAAGTGGGCCCTGTGCCAATGTCAAAAGCAAAGGAGTTTACGAGAAGGTTATTATGTGGGGAAGCGGGCACCTCTTTATCCTATTACGGTTCTTCTTCTTATTATAAATGATACTGTTACTATAGTTAATTTTTTTTGTCATTATCAATATTGTTATTGTTATTCTGATTATTTCTAGTGTTATAGCGGCATGGTTGTAACTCCTGGTTGCAGGTCCTTGGTGCAGCTGCCTCGAGGCTAGAAGTGTCTCGCCCCTCTCCAGGCACGAATTCAGATTCAGCGTGCAGTCTGAGGTCTGAGACTTGGTGGTTTCCATTGTTCCCACTATCCTTAAATAACCTCAATATCTACCCTATGATTATATAGTAGTTTCCATTTTCTTTTTCCATTATCCCACTATTAGCCCATATGAATATAATATAAAGAAATATATATATATATTCCCATATTGGTCGTGATTGCAAACCTGGACAGTATCAGCTGGCTTTGCTTGTGCAACAGATGGACCGGCCCGACTCGAAATGTCATTGCCTCATATTGAAGTGTGACAAGTGGATGTGGATCCTTTGTACTTTTTGGGGTATAGGGTTCCTTATATCTATGTAAAAAGGATCCTTTTTTCTTCCTAGGGTAATGTGGGCTAAGACAAGTGTGGGGCTTCAGATCGTGAAGTCTTGATTTATATGCTCGTAGCCTTGAAAGGGCATTCATCGCCATCGCTATTTGTGGGTGCGTATAAAGAAAGGGTTAAACACTCAGTGGCTTACATCTGTCCCACCGTTCTTGTTAACCATACTTCAAGCTGAGTCCTGTTTGGGTCTGCGGGCCGCGCAGCGGCACGTGCCAAATGTGGCACCATGGTGTTTTGGAGGTATCTGACGTTAGCCACGCTGGCATTTTTCCTGGATGTGGCCTCAATCTCGGCGATCTCGGTCCAGGAAGCTGCACGGCATCAGAGCTCTACCAGCTCCGCACGGCAGCATCTCCAGCGACACCTGGCCCGGGAGAGCCAGCGCTTTATGGCCGAGGCCGGCGCCCGAGAAGTGCTGGAGCTAGAGCTGCACAACGAGATGACAGAGCTCCGACATCTCCTCCTGCGCTCCCAGCGTCGAGTTTGGGCTGCAGCTTCCCTGGAAGAGCTGCAAACCCAGGTGGTGCTCAGCAGGTGGCCAGCAGGCGAGGTTTTCCTTCAGCAGGCAGTCGAAGCCGAGTCACTCACAGCTGTAGGCATGGTGCTCACAGGGGTCCAGAACCTCTATAACACCTACAAGAATGATTGGGGTGAGTTGAAGGAGAGCCTGGTAGAGCTGGAGAAGGAGTTGGTGAGTCAAAGCCATCAGATGGCCGTGAACTTCCGGATTGTGCTGAACCTCTCGTTCAAGAATTCAGTAGGTCTCTGGTTGGAATTTGCACGCAGCCCCGCAGGCCTTGAACGTAATCTGTCAGCAAGATACCTACCCTTACCCTGACAGGAGCACTATTGCAAGAGAGACTTCCTCCCAGTGACCTCCCCAAAAGATCCAAAGCTAAGCACAAGTGGTAGTCTCGGCAAATGGTGGGACCCCAATGTAGACCCCAAGATACTATACTCCTCATTATAGGGACCCCCAAAAAGGTATTCCTTATATAGGGAAGCCTAGTCAGAAACCCTGTATGAGCTGTAGTCTGAACTGCTTAATTAAAGGGGCTCATACAGGGGATTAGGTAGGGGACTACTATTGGGCTTATTGAGGGGGATACTAGGAGTTAAGACTAGACCCCCAATATAGTCAAAGAGTCCATTTTGTGTTTAACCTTCTTTTCCATATGATTCTCCATTATTGGGGGCGTGGGGGGTTATATATCCCTGCATATCCCTATACCTTAGATATATTAATATATCCCTACTGTTACATAACCCCTATACCCTAAAACTCCTGTACCCCTATACCCCCATAGAGTCAGGAATCAGGCGTCTGTGCTTCTGGGCCTGCTGTCGGGGCTCCCGAACTTCGCAAGTTGCCTGGGTCAGGCTGGGTTGCTGTTAAGGAACTTACATTAAGTTACCAGAATAATGGGTAGATAGGGTAGATGGGTATATGGGTATATGGATATATAGGTTATATAGGGTTTAAGAAACTTAGATTAAGTTACCTTAATGCGTATATGTAGTAATTAATGCGGTTTCGCCAATATAGTAACTGAAGCTAAGTTCCTTAACATCAACACAGCAGGCTTTGCAGGAAGTCCGGACTCATCCACAGCATCCACAGTACCTAGGAGCCGGATTCGTGGTTTAGGAGTTAAGGGTCTAGGGTTAAGGGGTTTAGGGCCGTATCGGGTCTGGGTTTAGGGTTTAGGGTCACGGGGTTAAGGGTTAGGGGATTTGGGGTTTAAGGTACCCTAAACCCTAAACCCTGAACCCAAACCCTAAACCCTAAGGTTTAGTGTACATCCCTGGCACCTAGCAGCCGGTGTAGCAGTTCTTCTGAAAACGTCTATGTGGGGTCGGGGTTCAAGGTTTTTGGAGCAAAGCTTCAGGTTGACGGTTTGGGGGGTAGGACGCTTCATACGCACTTGGCCCACATATCCATAAGATTCCATCAGGACGTTGATGAACTGGATGTTTTTACCTGGTAATTCAGACCTTGTTCTAGCGGCGCTTTGGCGAAACAGTCTGCTACAGAAAGCTGGCGTCAAGAGCTTTACTATTTGGGATATTCCTTTCTTGGGCAACAGCAATATAGACGTACCTGCACCCAGAAGACTCCGAGAGTTATGTTTGAAGCCCACCTAAGCAGAAGGTACTGCTTATGCAGAGTAATGTCAACCCTGAAAACTAGGGTCTAGGGCTAGAGTTAATTTAGAAGCCCCCCATCAAAGCCAGAGGTACTCGCAGAATGGCCTCGGGTCAGGGACTGTCCCAACGCGAGCTTCCACCTTTGCTGGAGAGTCCTTTGATCTTCAAGGGCTCTTGGGCATCAAGCTGGAGCAACCTTACCCTCATTGGCAAAAGTACTAGCAAAGGTTTAGGGTTTAGGGCTTAGAAAGGAATATCTCATATCAGGATACATCAGGGGCTGGGGGGGTTTCATATTGGGGATGGGATTCAGTCCTTACCAAGAAGCTATAAGAAGATAGCAGCAAATTTCGCCCCACCAATGGACTTGAACACACAAGCTATCATCGCTTGCTCTGGATCTTTGGTCGGCATGTTAACAAACATTCGTGCCATGGTTCGTAGTGATTATAAGGGAATGGAGATTGTCACCTGGTTTTAGCTAGGGGCTATATTGGGATAATGGAAAAGAAAATGGAAACTACTATAATGGAGAATCAAATGGAAAAGAAGATGGAAAATGAAATGGAAACTAGGGAATATAACCCTAAACCCTACACCCTAAACCCTAAACCCTAAACCTATATTCTTAGGTTCAACTTGAGCGCTTTCCTACCTAGTCGGGCTCCGAGGCAGCTCCTGGCGAGCACAAAGGACATGAGAAAGATTGTGCAGGATACTGAAGCTTACTGGATGTTAGTAGGTAGGTATATAAACTCTGAATGAATATATTCTCAGATTCCCTACTCAGAACCAGTAAG